ACACACACACACACACACACACAGCGTCGCCAACACAGCCAATGTGTGCATGCACACAGCCTTACCACATACACCCAACACGCATACACACAGCCCAACACAAACACATACATACAGTCTTGCCAACACAGCCAATGTGTGCATGCACACAGTTTTACCATGTACACCCAACATGCATACACACACAGCCCCAACACAGACCCAGCCTCACCATGCACGCCCAATGTGCACATACACATAATCTCAATCTATGCCCAGCCTCACCATAAACACTAGTATTCGCACACACATTGCCCCCAAACGTATAGCCTTACTATGTACCCAACATACACATTCACACACAATCTCTCCATGCACATAGCCTCACCATACACACCCAACATACACACACACACACACACACATACAATATCATTGCATGCCTAACACACAACTTTACTACCTACCCCTAGCACACACAAAGCCTCATCACACACTTCTAATTCATATATAAAACTCCACCATGTCCCCAAACACCAAGCACATCTTCACCACACACTCTTGATACACATCACATATATGACTTTTACCTCCTGGATCCAGCACTCACATTGCCGCACTCCATACAACCACACAAAAACCTCATCACACACACCCAGACATACCCAACCTTGACATGTGGTCACATGTATACACACCCCTTCATCCCATGCTATATCACAATCTTCACAAACACAGCTTCTCTATAAAGTCATCATGCACATTCAAAATCCTACTGCACAAATCCCAACATCCCTAGGTTGACATATATGAACCCAACCCTGGACAAACAAACACACAGAGAAAAAAAGGCTGTTCTCCAACATGATTAGAGTGGTGCATTACATTTAATCAGCTAGGGTTGCCATCTTGACCAGACCCAGATGGCCAATTTTTAAAGGCTTAAAAGACAATCAAATACACTTTGCAGTAAACAGCCCTGAGTTTAATTGAATTGGTCTTTGATGAGTCAGAAGGCACTTCCAAAGCTACAGCGTCTCTGGCCAATACCTTGGACCTCAGCCCTTACTGTGGAGCCTGTGGTGGGGGCAGACAGACAGCCAGGACCATTTACTATAGGTAGGGGAAAGGGATGCGCCCCAGATGCATTCACATGTGTATCAGCCCAGCTTCCCCAGACAGTCACAAGGACACACATGACTCTAGATCTGCACACATACATGCACACGTGCGCACGCACGCACACACACGCATACACACACACACAGCCTCAGTAAGCCAAGGGAGGCAGCTGCTGGGGTGGGGGGGGCACATCTGAGCACAGACACACACTAATCCTTCTCCCTGATATCAGTAAACACCTTATTCCCTCGGCCCTGCCTCCCCCAGTATCCCCATGCCTGCTTCCCACAGAGCCTTCCATCACTGACCCTGAAGGTCAGACAGAGCATCATCTCCAGGTCCTTAGTTCCTGGTCCTCCAGCCCTCTTCCACCTCTCTGGGCTCTCTCCATGCATCTCGCCTTCCCCACTGTGGCCATCTCTGGAACTGCAGCTGGCTAGCCTGGCCCGCTCCCCGCTGGATGTCGGAGGATGGGGGCAGAGGCGAGGGTGCTCCCTCCACACCACCACCCTCCATCTTCCTACCTGAAGCTTCAGGCCCTGCCCTGGGACCTGCCCCACCTTTCCAATGTCCCACCCACCATCTGTTGGCCTTTCTTGGGTTCTGCTCTTCTCCTAGAGTCTGTTAGCATCCTGGCTCCCTCTTTTCCTTGCTCTGCCCTTCTCTGCTCCTATTCCCCTCTTGGGGCCATAATGTTGCCCTTCAATCGCCCCCTCCCCCCCCAGACACACACATACATACATACATATACACACAAACCCTCGATTCATTCCCCTCCTCCACTTCCATCATCTCCCTCTCCTTCAGAGCCCACTTGGGGTCTCTATAACCCCAACACTTTGCTCCCCAACCCTGCTTTCAGTAGAAGAAGAGGGAAACCACTTACTGGGTGCGCAGCCGACGCGCAGGCAGTCTGGGGGGCCCATGGGGCGGGCAGAGGAGGGGGAGGGGAGACAAAAAGGCAAAAGAAATTTTTTTTACATCCTTCACAGGGAGGGGCATCTGCGGGCAGGGGTCCCCCCGGGGCCACTTTCTGGGGACCATGCGTGCCCAGGTATCCTCTCCCCATCCTGGGCCAGGCCCTCACCCCTCCTGTCCCCCAAAGGGCTCCAGGCCCTCAGAGCTGGGGGTCAGGGTTGCTGGGGTGATAGGGTGACCAGGCTTCTGCAGACGGAAGGCCCATGCCCTCCCTCCTTCACATCTGGGGGAGAGGAGCACCTTGTGAATCCCAGTCATACAGTGGGGGCATGAGGAGGTGGGGATCCTGACACCCCCCCCTGCAGGCTCCCCAACATCAATGGGAGGAAAAGCAGGGGGAAGACAGGGCCCCTGGGCCTCCAGCCATGGGCGATGCCCACTTAGAGACCTGGGGGGTGACTCTTCCTGTCCCACCCCAGGCTCTAAGCTAAATCAGGGGCTCCGTCCCAGGTGCCCACCCCGTGGCCACGGCTCACCAGAGCCCCAAGGGTCTGATCCCTCACCCTCCCTGGAAACCTTCTTTCTCGGCTTGCCGCCTTGGGGAACACCAGGTTTTCAATGGAACTTAGGGGGAAATCTGAGCCCCAAATAACCCTCCCTTGGAGGAGGGCACTCTGGCTGCCCTGCCTCCTTCCCTGAGGGGGGGTATGGACGGTCCAATCTGTGTTATAGACAGGGGCACTGAGGGCCTGGCCTCCAGCCCAGGGACCCTCCTTTTAGTCTTTTTCCCTACCTGGAGGTGCTCAGGGTCATGCAGAATGCATATAGCTTAGGCCAGGAATGTTTTCATGGACCCCATCGGTTCTAAAGGCAGCCCCCATGGGGCGTCTGTCTGTCCCATTCAGAGCAAGAGAAGTTAAAGGGGGCTCAATTCCAAACATTTATGAAGCAGCTCCTCTGAGCAGGGCCCTGGAATGTAAAGGCAGCTACAACATGGCCCGTGCCCCTGAGGAGCCCAGCCTTGGAGGCCAAAGCCAAGCTGCCTCTCATTCCGGCCCAATTCCTGTACGATACTGAGCTGGGCAAGGAGGTGTGTCTGGTGTTCCCCCGACCCCAAGAAGGTTCCCAGGGTTGGGGGTTCCCATCATTCCCCTGTGGCTCTGGGGGGTCGCGAGTCACTTGGGCCATAGAGCTGAGCTCCACACGACTCGGTCAACCGCAGCAGAAGAGTGGGGGGGAGCAGCCGGGACCCCAGCCCACAGCTTGGCACTGACGCAGGTCGGGGGCGAGGGAAGAAAGGAGATCGAGGGAAGGCCAAACAAAGAGGGGAGCCTGAGGTAAGCTGAGCAGCCAGGGCCAAGGTCCAGAAGGAGTTAGGTAGGGCAAGTAGAGGCCAGGGGAAGGAGCGAGCAGGAAGGTTAGGAAGGGGTCCAGGGGGAGCTGGAAAGGTTGAGGTCAGGTGGAAGGGAAGAATCTGGATAAAATGGGTTAAGAGGGAGGGGAAAGAGAAGGGGCATGAAGTGGGGGTGAAAGGGGTCAGCCAGCACAGACCAGGAGGGAAGACGACGGTAGGGTGGGAAAGGGTGCCAGGCTCTGGGCTGGGGTCTCCGGGGGCTCTCTCGGGACCAGCAGAGTCTTCACCAATGAAGGGTCCAAAAAAGAAAAAGGGAGTGAGGGCAGCATGCCCCCCATAAGGGAGGGGAAAGGAGGTCCCAGGATGGGAGCTTTGAAACCTTCCTCTCCCACACCGGGAACAGAGGCAAGGGGGAGGGAAGGAAGCCCCTTTGTCTGGAGAAGGAAGCAATGTGAGCTGCAGGTTTCCTGGACTGAGCTGATGGGCTGGAGAGACCAGCTAGGCCCTCAAGGCTGACCACCCTGCGGGGAGCAGACAGAGAGAGGACACAGCCGGAGGGGAGAAGAAGCAGATGTCTCTGGACATCTCCACACCCACACAGTAAGAGTGAACAGACACCAGCCCTGCAGGGCACTCTCAGTAGGTACTTGAGTGCACCCTTGCCCCGGATGGGCACGGCCCCCACTGGGGTCTGAAGCCTGAGCCGAGGAGACATCTGGCCTAAGGACCCCCGAGGAAGGCCACATGGACACCAAGGGAAAGACCCCCAGAAAGGTGGGCTTCCTGAGCCGCCAGCATCTATAGGAGGACAAGGGTGAGGCAATGTGGAGGCCAGAATGCACGGGGCCCCAGTCTGCGCTTCTGGAGGGAGAGCCCACAGTGATGAGCTCACAGACCCATCTAAGTGTACTGAAGGAGAAGGACCTATTATCTGTAATGCTAACCCAACACACACAGAGGTCACAGGCTGAATAGATGGCCCCATCAGCAGGACTGACAGGGCAGCCAGATATGGGAAAGCAGGCAAGGATGCGCGTTTTATTTAAGGAAGGACACCAAGCCCCTTCCCCCAGGGACCCAAGGCCCGGCCACCAGAGGGTCGAATACTGGGGCTGGCATAAAGCTCGGACTCTTTGGACCCTCCTTGTGTCCCTGGGTGGGTTGGGGAGGGGAGGCCGGATCTTGGGAGAGGAGGGAGGTGCAGATGGATAAGGAGGAGGTGGGCCCAAGTGCACCCAGGCTACACGTGCCCTGTGGCAGAGAACAACCTCTCAAGAGCAGAGCTCCTAGGTCCTCAGGCTCCAGCCTCGCATCCCCCCTCCACAGCCTGCACACTCACTCTACCTCACTCTGGATTCCAGCCCTCTGCCTTCCTCATTCTCCCCTGACACTTAGCTTCAGGGAGAGTGGGGGCAGAGAGCCCTTGACGACAGATTATCTGTAAGCCAGCTCAGGTTCAGCTGGGTTGGGGTGGGGGTGCCCGGCAGAGCCACATTTCCCCTCCTACATCCTCAGCATGCAAGGAAGAGCCAGGGACCCAGGGGTCACTCTCTCCTTCCTCACCAAAAGCCTCCCCACTGAGCCAAAGCCCATCCATCCTCCAAAGCTGAGGTCAAAACCCTTCTCCTCCATGAAGCCCCCCCAGACTACAGCAGCCCATGGGGACTTAACTCCTGACAGGTTGGAGCATCCCCAATCAGTGTTGGATTCTCTGCTTTTGGGACCTCCTTTTTTGAGAGGGGCTCCCTAAGGAGGGGACCAGGGCCCATGTCTGAGGCTTCCCCTGTGTCCTAGCCCAGTGCCAGCTGCGCAGTGAGTAAATGTGATTTAGTGATTTAATATCACTAATCATATGAGTTGAGAAGACACTTATTTTTCAGATGGGGAAACTGAGGCCCAGGCAGGAGAGAGTGCTCTGCCCAAGGCCATACTGGCAAACTATGGCAGAGGTGGGATCTCACCCCAGGTCCCTGACTCCAAACCCAGCAAGCCTGCCACGACCTCAGGCCAGAGCTGCCACTACCTCCACTGATACCGAACTTCCCACGGCTCCATAAGAGGTCCTGTGCCCAAGTCACGAGCTTTCCTCCTCATTCCCTCCCTACACAGAAATGTGAGCTTTTCCTATTATTATTATTATTTTACACAGGTGGAAACTGAGGCCCAGAGCTGGGGAGTGACTTGTCCAAGGTCATATGGATAGTCAGGCCTCAGGTCCTCCAGCTCCAAATTCTGCACTCGAGGGATAAGCTTCTGGAAGACCTGGGGCCTTAGCAACATCCTATCTGAGGGTCAGCACCATGGGGTCACGGCAGACCTCAAACATCATCCGTCTCCTTTCCATCCTGATTGCCCTGAGTGGGTGGGGCCCTGGGCAGGAGGAGAGGGGAGCATTCTGGGGGGAGGGGAGTAGAATGGAAGCTCTTTTGAGGACAAGCCCGTTTCACTTTTGCCTTCGTTCCCCTAGCACCTTAGCCAGCGCCTGTCACATAGTAGGTGTTTTATAAATGCTTACTGACTGTTTGATCTACTAAAATTAGTTAAACTGAAGATCTCTACGGTTTCTTTAAGCTTTAAGTCCCCAAAGCTTAGCAAAATGCCCATCAGGTGATTAATAAATACTTGCTGATTGAGTCATTGGCTGGTTGGTTGACTGGGCACCCACCTCCTGGCAGCTTCCAAACAACTTTTTCTGATCAGTCTCTACATCTCCTCTCACCTTTCACAAGCCCAAGTTCCCTAAGCTCAACACAGATCCCTCTACCTCACCCCTAGATGCCCCAGCCCCCTTCCCCCAGTGGTTATGCTCCCCCCTCCCCCACGGGGGCCCACAGAGTGGCTGTGTGCTTGGTCAACTCCCCCCACTGACGCCTAGATCCACAACCCCGGCTGCTGTCTGATCTTTCCCCAGGCACAGGCTGGGAGTGGCTGATGGGGAAGGTGAAGGTCTGGCCTATCTCCAGGCTGTCAGCCCCCTGGGAGTGGAGCAGAGCTGGGGAGGAGCCCACAGCCGAACTGCCTCAAAGCCCTTGGCTTCACACCCTTCCCGGAGAACTCCTGTTAGGGGAGAGCAGAGGCCTCATCTCAGCTGCCTTTCCCCTCCCTATGCCCTATATGACCCAAAGAAGGAGGAGGAGGAGGAGGAGGAGGAGGAGGGGGAAAAGGAGGGAGCAGTGTTCCTTACTTAGATAACTGGAAGACTCTGGGAGGGACCTTAGATATGAACAGGTCAAACCCCCTCATTTTATAAAGGAGAAAACTGCACCCCAGAGAAGGGAATACATTTGTCCGAGGTCACAGAGGAAGTGGGGGTCGAGCCAGAATTCAAACCCAGGTCCTTGCTTTCCCATGAAAGCCTCTTGTCCCATTTTGGCACCTTCCCTGTGCTGATTATTTCCAGTCTATCCCACCTAATAGTTGGCCTGTTATGTCCCCCATTAGACCGGGAGCTCCCTGAGAGCAGGGGCTGTTCAATTCTTCTTTGTATCCCCAGTGCTTAGCATACAGCAGGCATTTAATAAATGCTTGTTGGCCTGCTGACTGACTGACACTTCCCCTAATCATTCCAAAGAAGCCTGTATCATGTATCCCATGCACGTGACTTATCCTCCATCACACGTTGGACACAACACTGGGCCCACATTACTTCCTGCTCCATAAATGGGACACCTGTGACCTGACAGGGTGACCCAGCCTCCCAGACACCTGCTGGATGTGGGTGAGGGAAGAAGAGGGCTCTTGGATACAAGCTGTCTCAGGTGGGGCTGAGGACTGAGTGCCAAAAGGGACCTGAGGCATCAGTGAGCCCAACTCCCCTTTTTTTCCTTAACAGATAAGGAAACTGAGGCATAGAGAGGAAAAATGACTTGCCCGGGTTGTCAGCAGCCAGGCTGGGTGAGCCCTAGTCCATTGGTCTTTGATGCCTCTCGAGGCACTTTCTCCTGGTCTTTTATCATCATTTTTATCTCTTACCATCTCACCCCACACTGATATCCAGTTCTAGGTCACTGTGAAATCTTATTAAAGACTTGAAGTCAGCAAAGACTACAGTTTGAATCCCACCTCTGATCCTGACCAGCTGTGTGATCTTGGACCAGTCCCTGCACTTATCTGAGACTCCATTTCCACATCTGTAAAATGGGACTAATGAATCTTGACCTGTGTCAAAGAGATCTGGGAGCTCTTATTATGGTCAGTTTCCACGTCCATGAGGGCCAGTGAGGGCAGCCAAGACTACTGGAGCAGGCGGGCTTCTGTGTGGGGTGCGGGAGTGGAAGTCAATCACCTATTTCCTTCATTCCTCTACCCTTGTCCACCAGGTGACGCTCCTCGTGAATCGCAATGCCTCGTATTGTTTGTGACCTGTCGTGTATATACACATGTCCGTGGGTGGGGGCTCGGAGTGGGGGAAGGCTCAAGCAGTTCTCACAGACTGTCTAAGGATGGTAGGCAGGGGCAGATCGGGCACACATATAGCCCAGAGGAACCAAGTCTGGTTCGCCTCTGCACCTCCCGGCACCCTTGGCGCCCAGCTCTGGGTGCTGCCCATAGGAGTACTGGATGAGTCAGTGCAGAGCAGGGCTGATTGACAGCTCTGGAGTTTCCCAGCATCCCTCCCCCCCCCCCAACTGGGTATGGCCAGGGACAGATGCTGCCGGGACTCTGTGTACACTGGGCAGGGAACGTTATCACGCCCGAGACACACACAGGCAGATGGTGTTATTGCACGCTGTGTGTCGACAGCTCAGAGGGTGTTATCACATGCGATGGTATCACCCCCTGGGCTGTGTCCAACTCTGCCTCTCTCTCTCTGGCTGTGTCCACGCAGGGTGGGTCCAGTCCCAAGGCTGGCTTCGCTCCACCCTCCCCCACCCTTGGCACTCCTCCCAGCTTCTCCAGAGGAAGGGGGGGTGGGATGAGGTCAAGGTCAAGGTCAGGATCATGACTGAGGGGAGCAGGAGGGGGGGTTACCAAGGTTGACGGTGAGCTTCATCTGCCCCCCATCCAGTTCGAGGCGCAGGGTGTCCGCAGACTCCTTGGAGGTGGTGGCCATCATGAGGCCATAGGCACGCTGGGACATGAATCGCAAGGACACATCCTCAGCTTCAGTGTGCATGGCCGTGGGTAGCATGATCTTCATGTACATGGAGCCGTCATAACTCAGAACTGTGGCCTCTGCCCCAGAAAGCGAGGGAGAGAAAGAGTGAGCGCAGTTACAGAGGGGTAAACCTGGGGGAGGAAGGAGGCCGGAGAGGGAACAAGGCCAGGCATGGAGGAGACTGGAGAAGTGTGACATGGGCAACCCGAAGGTGGGAGAGAGAACAGGGATGGGGGGGGGGGCGTGACACAGAGATGGGAGAGAGAAAAGAAGCAGGTTGTGGGGACCCTGAAGGGCAGAGAAAACTGGAATGAGGATGGAGACATTTAAAAAGAAAAGAACAGGACTGGGGTGGGGGACCTGATGGGGAGGAGGAGCAGTGCCGTGGATCCCGAGGGTAGGGTGTGGAACATGTGGGTGGGAGAGACTAGACTGCTTTAGGGGATCATGTTAAGGAAATAGAGACTAGGGAGGAGATTTGAAGGTTCTCAGGTGGGAGAGACCAGGGTCAGAGGATGGGGGACACTGACGGGCAGAGAGAGTTGGAAGAGGGTGAGGGACACAGAGGAGGGCCAGGATGGCCAGCTGACCTGTACTCACCTCTCTCACAGACCCGGCCCAGGAAGCCCGTCCCAACACAATCACAGACAAAGCGGTTCCAGCCTTCTCGGCAGACCCCCCCGTTTCTGCAGGGGGCTGTTCCACACTGCCTCAGCGTTTCTCTTGAACAGAAGGGGGCAACCCCTACGGCCCCTTGGGCTTCAGCCAAACTCCGAAGGTCACGACTGCGCCCGTCGATGAATAGGTCCCGAACACAGCCTACGTATCCAGCCCGAAGTGCCGCCGTCCACACTTCGGGGGGCAGTGGCAGGTCCGCCCGCCCCCCTTCGGGGAGGCCCCCCAAATACAGCTCACTCTCCAAGTCCAGGATCTCACTCTCCCCGCTGGCCAAAAAGGGGGTGCTTCTGCTGTTCACCGAGATTGAGCCTGAAGGACCGAGGGAGAGAAGGAAGGAAGCGGGGCGTCAGTGGGTGTTTGGGAAGGTGGCAAAGGGTGGGGAAAGTAGACAGACTGAGCCAGAGCAAATGGGGAGCCATGGAAGGGGTAATGAGAATGAGGCAGGGGACAGCAAGTCAAAGAGGAGGACAAGAAAGGGAAGAAAGCAGGACAGCTGAAGGAAAGAACGGGAGGACAGAAGAGAGATGGTGCAATGGGAAGGATGCAAGAAAATGCTTGGGGAGGGTGAGCCTCTGCCATCCCTTGGGAGCACAAGATTTGACAAACAAGGTTAAGTGACTTGCCCAAGGTCACACAGCTAGTAATTGTCTGAGGCCAGATCTGAATTCAGGTCTTCCTGACTCCAAGTCCACTTTATAGATGAGGAAACAGGATTTAGAACAAGTTTAATGTCTCTTCTAAACGACAACCCTTCAGATACTTGAAGACAGTTCAGACCCTTCTTGGTCACCATCTTGGCCTACCTCCACCTCATCGATGTCTTTGGTAAGATATGGCACCCAGAACCAAACATAGTCCTCCAAGTGGGATCTAAGCAGAGCACAATGGTGGGGATTATCATTCTCCAAGTATGTTCTATTTTTACATCACCCTACCCAGCACCCTGGGTGCTGCCATCTGTCCACCTCCATGTACCTCTCCCATCTTCCTCAGAGAGTCCAGCACCTGGGGCCCAGGCTTCCTCTCTACCCCAATCCTTGCCCTCCTCCTTACTGACTTCTAGATACGTGTTAAGGACCCTTCAAAGCTCCAGTCTCCCAATTCTTCAACATTCTCTATTCCAATGACCTTCAGCCTCACTCAGATAATGAGACAGATAATCTCAGTCACCCACCAGAGCGGTCACACCTAGGACCTCCCCATTGTCCAAACATGCTCCCTCCGAGATCTTATACCCTCTGAGTGGCCTCTCTGACCACAGCACACCTCTCTCAATGACTTTCTCCTAAATTTGCTCTTCCTCCTCACCACCACACCCAGATCATTGAAACTTCCGGGATTCCCAGTCCATCAATCCTGCTCTAGTCTTCCTTCCTCCAAAATCCAACCAGCAAAGTGAAGTGGTTCAACAAGGCGATGTCCGCCTTTGCATCCCTTCCTGCCTGCTCCTTCCACTGTTCACAGCCTCCTTAATCCCTGAGTCTGGCTCACCTCCACCATCCACCTTCTTTCCTCCTCCTGAGCTGCTCATCCCTGTTGGAGCAAGTCACCAAAGAGAGCAGTTTGAGCGTATCAAACCTCCACTGGGCCCTCAATTCTGAAATCTTTCTATTGTACTTCCATGACTGACTGATCACACCCACAACTTCAGCTGTTCCATTCTTCTCCCTTCCCCTCAAGCCCCTGATCCCACCCCAGACCCCTTTATCTCAGCAAATGACCTTCTGCCTGACATTGTGGGATCCCCTAACGAGAGCCAGACCGTTTCACTTTTGTTTTTGTCCTCAGCACCTAGGATGCAGTCTGCCATGGAAGAGGCTCTTAATAACTGCTCAGCAAATTGAATTCATCTGAAGCGCCCTTCAACACCTCCAAGTCATTCTAAATCATCATACATTATTTTCCTGACTTTCAGCACCGTGGAAGGAGGGTCCCTTTTTGTTGTCCAGATTAATCTCACCATTTGTCCCTTTCCATCTCCTTTAGGAGTTCCAGTGATCACACCTCTCTTCTCTCCTCCTCTCTTCTCTCTGTCTCTCTCTTTCCCTTTCCTCCCTCCCTCTCTCTCCTTCTTTCTCTCCCTCGCTCTCCGTTTCTATCTTTCTCCCTCCCTCTCTCCCTCCTCTCTCCTTCTCTCTTTCTCTTATCTCTCTCCCTTTTCCTCCCTCCTCTCTTCTCTCTCTTTCCCCCTCTCTCCCTCCTTCCTTCCCTCTCTCCTTCTCTCTCTCTCTTCCTTATTTTCACTTCCTCCTTCTCTCCCTTCCTCCCTCTCTCCGTTTCTCTCTCTTCCTCTCTCTCTCTTCCTCTTCCGTCCTCCTCTGTCTCTCCCCATCTCTCCTTTGCTCCCTCTCTTTCTCCTTCTCTCTCTCCATTCCTCCCTCTGTTTCTATCTCTCTCCCTCTCTCTCTCCTCCTCCTCTCTCTCTCTTTCTGTCTGTCTTCCCCTCCCTTTTTGTACCACCCACGCTCCCTTAATTCCTTGCAGTCTACCTTCTGACCCCACCACTCTCCTGAACCTGCCCTTCCAAAGGTCTCTAATGACCTCTGAAATGCTAAATCTGATGGCCTTTACTCAAGCCTCTTCCTGCCTGACCTCAGCTGCTTTGGATAGTATTTCAGGATATTCTTGTGGACAAGATGGAGACTTGGCAGAGGCCTGACAATACTACAGATTGGAGAAGTCAGAACAGTTCGAAAGTCCAGAACCAAAGAATCATCATTAATGATTCAATGTCAATTTGAAAAGAGGTCTCTAGTGCAATGCCTCAAAGATTTATGTTCAGTTCTGTGACTTTAAACACTTTTATTCATTATCTGGATAACACAAAGCTGGGAGAAATAGCCAACGCATTGGATAACACAGGCAGGGCCCAAAAAGACCTCAGCAAGCTTGAATCAATCAATCAACAAGCATTTATTAAGGACCTACTATGTGCCATAGGCAGTGGGGATACAAAGGCAAAAATGAGACAGCCCCTGCCCTCAAGAAGCTTACATTCTACTAGGAGTAGACAACATGTTCACAAATAAAGTAAAAACAGGATACATGCAAACGAAATGCACAGTGGTGGAGGCGGCCTAACAACTGGGGGCCTCAGAAAAGGCCTCTTGAAAGGGGTGGCACTTGAGCACTGAAAGTGTTCTGAAAAGGAATGGTAAGGAAGGAAAGCATTCCAGGCGTGGGAGACAGCCTAGGCAAAGGTACAGAGGTGGTAGATGAGATGTCATGTACAGGGAACATTTTGACCAGAACTCAGAGAGTGTGGATAGAAACTAATAAAATGAAACTGAGGAAGGATAAATGTAAAAAATCCTACACCTGGGTTAAAAAAAAAAACAAAACAAAACAAAACTCCCTAAATTCAAGATCAGAGAACCAAAGAAGTGTCTGATGAAAGATCATGAGGTTTTAATGGATTTCAGGCCGAAATGCTCGATGGGACACAATTTCCAGGACCAGCGAGGTGATGCTTCCACTGTCCTCTGCTCTGGTCAAACCCCCTCTGGAGCCCGTTATAGGAGAGAACATACCAAGCCCGAGGGCATTCAGAGGACACAAGCAGGATGGTGACAATCACGTCTAGTAAGGACCATTGGAAAGAACTGGGAATGTTTAGCTTGAAGCAGACAGGACACAGAGAAGGAGGTGGCTGTGAGTATCTGAAAGGCTGACGTGCTAGGTCTGGCCGCAGCAGTAGAACTTGGAGGAAGTTTCACAAAGAGATTTCAGCTCTCTGAAAGAAAAGACTTCTTCTCATTGAGAGCTGTCCAACAGTGAGATGGGCTGCTTTGGGAGGTCATGGGTGGTATCCCCTCACATTAGAGGCTTCCAAGCAAAGGGCTCATGGCCACTTATCTAGAATGTTGCTTGAAAGATCTTGTTGAGAAACAAAGTGTCCATGCTGGCCTCTGGAATCCCCTGGAATGCGGCATTCTGTGGTGCCAGGTGATGCTGCAAGCCACTCCATCTTCCTGAACACTCACTCTTCCATAAGAGAGTTCTCTCCTTTGCCCTGGCCCGGCCAGATGCCATTCACCCTGCCATCCCCTCCCACCCACACCTCCAGAGACCAGCCTTGGGGGAGTGAAGATACTGGATTTTGAAACACAAGTCCTGGGGCTGAGCTGTCCTGCTCAGTGAGAGCCCAGGATGTCTTGCTGGCTCCAGCTCCAACCATGCTTCACCCCAGCCATCTTCTGGGTATCCACTCTGCCACCCACATGCTTCCCCACCTCACTTTCCACCTCTATCTCTGGGAATAGTAATCAACTGTTTCCAGAAACAGCTACCATTGCTTCTGGTAAGAGCACACCAATCTATAGTTCCATTTACCATCCCAGTAACTTCCAAGTCAAAAGCAGCCCTGCTTGACCACCTGTAAGCTCCTTGATGGAAAGGACTGTCTCACTTCTTTATTTATTTGTACCCACAGCTTAGCACAGTGCCTTGGACACTGTATGAATGCATGAATGGATTGATGGATGGGTGGATGGATGGATGGATGAGTGGGTGGGGGGATGGGTGGATGGATGGGTGGTTGGATGAGTATTTGGATGGGTGGGTGGATGGATGGATGGATGGGTGGGTGAGTGGGTGGATGGGTGGGTGGATGTATGAATGAGCAATTAGTTTGTGCTCAGCTAGAAAAACCTGGGTTCAATTCCTGCCTCAGGCACATTCTGGCTGCATGATCCTGGGCAAGTCATTTAACTTCCAAGTCAGGGTTTCTTAACCTTCTTTGTGTCATGGACTCCTTTTGCAACCTGGTTAAGTCTATGAACCCCTTCTCAGAACAATGTTTTTCAATATACAATTCATGGTATCACAAAGGAAACTAATTATGCTGAAATACAGTTGTCAAAATATTTTTAAAAAAACAAATTCCTCAGCCCCGAGTTAAGAACCTTGCTTTAAGTACTCTTGAAAGCAATGAGTTGGAAGGAAGGTGCCCACCCTGGATTGGCGGAAGGAGTTTCTTCATCTTTATCCATGAAAATGCCCAGTGTCTGTCTTGATCCCTACATGCCAAGCACTGTGCTAAGCACATGCTTACTGCATTCTTTTCACTCTGGATCCTGGTTCTCTTTCTGCCTCATCCAGCAACTTCTCAATCTCCTTTCCTGGGCCACGGTTTTCCTTCTTCCCCCAAAGATTCCCCACTGTCACCATGGGCTCTGTCCTGGGCCTCTTCTGCCCCCTATAGTCCCTGTCTCTCAGCAATCATCCATTCCATGCATTCAATAATCCTGACGATGCCTTCCGAATCTCTCAGCCTTAACTCCCATCCCTCCTTGCCAGCCTCCTATTGGATATCACCTAGACCTGCTGCCAGACTCCCAGACTCAGCTGAAGTCATCATCTTCTTCTCTAAACCTGCTCCTCTTTCCTTCCTTATATCTTTTTAGGGCAACACAGTCCTCCTCATTGCCCAGGACTGGCACCTCCTCAGCCCTGACTCTGCCTTTCCTCCTCCCACTCCACATCCAGTCTGTTGCCAAGGATTGGCAATTTCACCTCCACAGCATTCCCCCCATACGTCCCCCCTCTCTCCACTCACACAAACCCCCCCCCCATTCTATTTCTGCCTATCGCCTTTCCCTCAGACCATTCAATCACCTCCTAATAGGTCTCCCTTTCTCTTTTCTCTCCCCTCTCCAATCCATCCACGCCATGATGATTCTCCTGCAGCACGGGTCTGACCATGTCACTCCCTGAATTCAGCACCGCCCTCTAAAATCAAATGCAAACTCCTTTGTTTGACATTGAAAATTCTTCACAAATGGGCTTCAGCCAGTCTTTCCAGGCTGAATACACATTCCTTCCTTTTGCATATTCTGCACTCTCGCCAAGCTGGCCTAATTACCATTCGTTGTAGGTGAATTCCCTTCTCCTGCCTTCAGGTCCTTGCTTTGTCTGTCCCTGACCCCAGCATGGAATGCCGTTCCTCTTCACATCCACCTCTTGGAATCCCCAGCCCACTTCACGGTTCAGCCCATGGGCCATCTCCTTCTTGGGAGAGACCTTTCCAGCGGTTCCTGCCTCCAAACGATTTCGTATTCATTTCAGATCACATTTGCACATTCTTGTTTTATGCCCATAGAATGAAAGCTTCTTTCTTGAGAGCAGAAATCGTTTGGTCTTTGAATCCCTAGAGACCTCTGAGCTCAGATTGGTCTGATCAGTCACAGTCAGACACACTGCCCCTTGACCCCCAACATAATGACATCACTTTGGTCCTCTTTGAGCATGAAGGACGGCCAACCAGCCTAGCGAAGTGCCCACAAAACGAGGGGTTGAATAAAGAATTATTTATTGATTGATCTTTGTCTTTAAGGATTCGTCTCTTCCTGCAGGGCACAGCTCAGGTACAAACCCCCTCCCCGAGAGAGACTTCCCTAATCACTACAGCTGAAAGTCTTCTCTCTCTCTCCTCTCTGCTCCTAGAGCTCTCCTTTGCCTGCCCCAAGCTAGTCAACCAGGACCTATGGCCCTCTAGTACTCTAGGTCTCCAGTGGGGCTCAGGGAGGCACAATGATCCTTTGAGCCTTATCAACTATTAAGCGCCTACAGTGTGTTCAGAGTGCTGGGGGTACAAAGACAAAAATGAAATACTCCCTGGCCTCAGGGAGTTTCCATTCTATCAGGGGAGACCACGTGTACATATACAAGTGTAAGAGGGGTATTTCACACTCCCCCAACCCCAATTAGTGTAATTAGTAAGACCTCTAGGGCCTAACACCTTTATCAGGTGAAAACACTTCCTTGATTGAGTCAAAGAATCAATCAAATGTGGTAATTAGGTATGAGCTCTCTGCAGAAACAACCAAAAGTACAAACTGGGTACAAATAGCTTGGTTAATGAAGTGGGGAAGAGCGAAGTCTTTCTGGCTTGGATGCCCTCAGATGATGGAACGTTTGGGAACCGGTCAAAATAAAGTGCCACATTTCTGGGTCTCAGTATATCAGAGAAGGAGGTTCCAGCAACTGTTTTGGGAATGAAGCCACAGGAGCACTTTGAGGAACTTACACCTGTTTCACACGCTCTCCCCCTCTCATTTGGCCATGTTATTGGAGAAATCAGAGCAAAGAACAAGCAATGAATCCAGACAGACAGTGAGGAATCGGGGGAAAGTCTCTCTTCTACATGCTGAGAACTGTAGCCTTAGGACTCTGCCAGGGGCCCAAGCCTCAGAGCCCAGCAGAGAACTACATTCACCCATGGGCTATTGGATAAGGACTCCACAATGGAAAGAAGGATTTCCAGTGAAGACGCAAATGACCCTTAGGCCACCTGTGCTCTCAAAGCCTGAGCGCATTGAATGGGCTGGTGGAAGAGAAAGTCTCTGGTTTGGGGGCATGTTTTTTTATCCTTGTTTTTACCACATCACCTGAGTCAATACCTATATGTCTAAAGGCTGGCAAATTGATAAATATTATACAAATTATATAAAATTAATAAATGTCTGGCTGGCAATGGGGATCACACCAGTGGGTGTTCGTGAGCAACACTACTGGAGAAAACTCTCGACCCCTCAGGGTCACCCCTAGAACCCTAAGATCAAAAGTACTCAGTCATCTTCCAGGGACCCAACCTGCCAGTGTTAGTGGGAGTCAGGAAGCAGCTCCAGGAGCGGTATTACACAAGCACACGCAACATATATACAAAGTGAATTTGTTGTTGTTCAGTTTTCAGTCACGTCTGACTCTCTGTGACCCCATTGGGGGTTTTCTTGGCTAAGATCCCGAAGTGGTTTGCCATTTCCTTCTCCAGCTAATCTTACAGATGAAGAAACTGAAGCAAACAGGGTAAAGCTGACTTGCCCAGGGTCACACAGCTAGTATCTGAAGCCCGACTTGAATTCATGAAGATGAGTCTTTCTGACTCCAGGCCTGGCACCCTGTGCACTAGGGCGCCCCTGGCTGCCCAAACAAAGTGAGCGCAAAGTAGCTTTGAAAGAGAGGACACTACTTGTTAGGGGATCAGTCACTTCATTATTCTGGGACTCAGTTTCCCCCTCTGTAAAATGAAGGCGTTGGATTGGATAGTCTCTGAGGTTTTTCCAGCTCTAGATTTACGACTTCATGGTGCTAAGGTATTTAACTCCATTCCTTCCTTTTGACAGGTTAGGAAACTGAAGCTCAGAAAAACAAAGTGATTTCCCTGCAGGCACAGAGCTGGAAAGTCCTGGAACCCAGGTGTTCTGAAAGACAATGTCATAGAGGCAAGAATGATGAACAACTTGGTTTAAACCCCACCTCAGATAACCACGCGACCCTGAACAATTCCCTTGACCTCTATCTGCCTCAGTTTCCTCATCTGTAGAATGGAGCTATAATCTTTGGGATACCAACCTCACAGGGTTGTGAGGATCAAAGGAGACAAAATTTTAGGCATATCTTAATGCACTATAAATGTCCCTTGACAGCAGGGCTGAATTTTACCTTTTTTTGTATCCCCAACACCTGGCACATAGTAGGCGCTCAATAAATGCTTAACTGACTCTATAAATATCAAGTATTATAGTTGTTCCTCCTATTGCGTGCGTAGGGCTCTTTCCACTCCACAGCATGGCCTCCCTCATTAGAGGCAGTGGAATGGTGGGGGTGAGGGTGTCACGGAGAGAAAGGGAGGGCTCTCCAAGTCGATTTCAAATTAGTCAGACGTCCCACTTGTTGTTCATCTTGGTGCTTCATCTCCAGCCTGCACCCTTTTGCACAGGCTGTCCCTGACGCTGGGAATGCCTCTTCTTACCCCTCCTCATTAGAATCCCAAGCTTCACTCCAGGCTAGAGACTCAAGGCATGCACGTGGCACCCCCTTCATCAATCCTCTTGACATCACTTGGTATTTGCACATCTGTGTACACAGAACATCCTCCTAATGGAATAGAAGGCAGGGACTGCGTTTGTTTATTTCAGAAAAAAGTGTAGATTTTGAGTCAGAGGACCTGGGTTTGAATCTCAGCTTTGCCATTTATTCTCAGGGTGACTTTAGGCAAGCCACTTACATTCCCCAAACCATAGTTTCCTCATCTGTAAAATGAAGGGGCTTCACTAGAAGACCTCTAAGATCCCTTTTAGATCAAAATCTATGATCCACAACATTTTTGCACAGTCCTCTGTACACAGCAGGTGCTTAATAAATGCTTGTTTCATTGGCTGGATCAGAAGCAAGTGAGAGAAGGGAAGGTCAGGGTATTTGAAGGGAAGAGAGGTGAGGGCTTGATGTTTTCAAGGGGAGAAACAAGGTAATAAATGGATGGAGAGAAGGGAGGGAAGGTGGGAAGGAAAGATGGCGGCAGGGTTCTCCCTCCTGAGGGCCCCCTGACCTTTGCGCCCGTCCCTCTGGAAGTCCACGTGGCACCATTCCCCATCATTGACCTTCCGGTTGGACGCCCGAAGCTTGATGCCCCCGGAGCCCATGTCGAGGAGCAGGTAGAGATATCCGTCCAACAGCTCCATGGCAAAGTAGTCGGCCCGGGCAGCCCCGTGGCCTCCTTGCCCGCCTCCTGCCCGCCGGCCCTGGCTGAAAAGCAGCAGCCCATTGGGCTCCGTGGTGCGGAAGTCCAGGGACACAGAGCCGGTGCGCTTGGCGCTCCAGCGGGGCAGGGCCACAAAAGCCTCGGGGCTCTCGAAGGTCACGGGATCCAGGGCGGCCACATCCTCACAGCGGAAAGACAGATCGCCCTGAAGTTTCATCTTGGGGTCCCCTTCCCGGGCCAGCCTGGACAGCTCCAGCTTAAAGTCATTGTTCTTATAGACCACCTGCAGGGGACACCGGAGAGTCAGAGAGGTGAGGCCCATTAGCAAGACGTCCCTCCCCCCTTCCCTAAGCAGCTGATTCTGCCACTGGCCTGGGAACGGCACTCTCTAAGCTTTTACAGGCTCTGACTTGGTAGGGCCTTTGCAGATGATCACGTTCAAGCCCTCTCCCCCACTCACCATTTTACAACAGAAGAAACCGAGACCTAGACAGATGGAGCGACTTGTCCTTGGTTACATAGGTAGTAAGAAGCAGAGGCAGGATTTGAACCCAGGCCCTCAAACTACAACTCCTCTACTCTTCCTACTGCTTCACTTTCCAGAGGGGCCGGTAATGGAAGGAGGCCCAGTGACCTGCCGTCCCAAGGACCTGCCCCATCTTCTGGAGGGGTTGCAGTGTGGTGTCAGTTTCACAGAAAAGGCTTGAGATTTACAGTCAAAGAACCCGGGTTCAAATCTCAGCCCTGCTATTATCTGTGTGACCTTGGCCAAGTCACTCTCCAGGCCTTGGTTTACTCATGTTTAAAATGAGAGGAATGGAATATACGGCCTGTTTGGTTTCTTCGAGCTGTACATCTATGAACCTATGAACCAATGATGGTGGATAAGTCACTTCTCTTCTCTGGGCCTCAATTTCCCCGTCTGTCAAATGAAGTGATAAGGATTATCAGATTAGACCACAGGCTGGAGAGCTGAAAGGAACCTTAACGTTCACCTAATTCAGGGATTTTAACCCTGGAGGCCGTGGACTTGCTTTTTAAATATTTCAATAACTATTTTAACATAATTGGTTTCCTCTGTAATCCTGTGTGTCCTGTTTCATGCATTTAAAAACCTTATTCTGAAAAGGGTCCATAGGCTTCACCAGACTTCCCAAGGGATCCAGGACACGAAAAGAAAAGAAAAGAGGTGACGACTCTAATCTGGTCCAACTTTTTTTTCCTTTTACAGATGAAGGGACCGAGATGATCTCTGATGTCCCCCACTGAAGTATGAGCTTAATTCGTGGGTGAGCATCGCAGAGCCGGGATTTGGGAGATCCTGGCACGGGGTCAGTGGGGCCTCTAAGTCCTGATCTGGCGAGAGCCAGGCATCTCCTTTCACTTTTCCCTATCTGGAGTCTTTGTACAGTACCAGCTGCTCCACGGGGGTTGTAATAAGCAGCAGTGAGTTATCGTTCTATCACTTTGAAGACAATGGTGTGGGGGTGGCCATGGTGCCTACAGGAAGGGAGGGCTTGGGAAGGGCAGGAGGCAACACTGTCCTGGCACATAGGAAGCTTTCTCGTTGACTGACTGATTGATCACAGGAGGTTCCGGCCCTTGTGGGCCCCACTCACATCCTTCAGACAGCCCATAAAGTTGTTGCTGACCGGGGAGCCCGGTAAATCTGCCGTGTTGGGGCTGCCTCCGATGTAGAAGAAGTCATCAGAGCCCAACATGGTGTAATCCTCCTGGGTGTAGCCTGTGGTGGTCAGGATCCCGTCCACTGAGATGGTCACCTGTCCAGCCCGGGACGGGATGGAGGAAGGGGAGAGACAAGGAGACAACAGGGCGTCAACCTCCTGAGGGGAGGCTGGGGCTGGGCCGGGGAGAGGGGCCGGTAGGGGTGCTGGGGGAGGGGGCCCCATTTTTATGTCTGCTTGTCTCAGAGGGGGAACAGTGGGGAAGGACAGGGAAGGAGGGAAGATGGGGCGGGGGCTAGGAGGAAGCACAAGATTTGATGGTCTCAGGTTGGGATGGAGTACTAGGCAACGGTCATAGCGTCAGGGGGTGAAACATGTAGAAAAGAAGACGTAGAAAAACACACAGCAAGTGTCCAAAGAGAAGACTGAACTGAACCCCCTAGAGGTCCCCCTAATGCAGGGGAGGGGGAAGGGGCAGAGTCCTCTACAGACCAGAGGAATCCCAGGGAGAATGGGACCTTCAAACTGGCACCAAGACAGAGCCACACAATGTCCCTTGCCCCTTTTCTGGGCCCATACTTCATCCTCAGGGCCTCTCTTAGAAGCAGTGAGGTGGGGAGGGCATTACTGCTCTTCTTTGAACCTCTGGGTCCCTCCTAAAGTGCAGTTTCCCTTCTCAGGCTAAAGGATACTTTGTCCAGTCTTGGCCTAGCAAGGAGATGGGAGTCAGGGTGACAGAGCATAAGAAAACAGAACCTGGGCGCCCTGACTCTCAGAATCACAGAACTGAGAGCAAGAGGGGACCTCAGACCCCACCTCCTCATTAGCAAGAGGAGAAAACTGAGGCAGACGGGGAAGTGACTTGCCCAAGGTCACAGAGAACCTGGTAGAGCTGGGATTCAGGTCCAAGGCCTCAGACTCCAAATTCAATGGGCTTTTCCACTGGGATATTCTTCCTTTTGAGTGCCCACATAGGATGGGCAGGTCTCTTCTTGGCTGACCCCAGGCTGCACAAGTTCTTCCTTTTCCCCCTCCCTGTCTCAGGGCCCAGGGCTCCCAGGAGCCGACGTCACAGAGATGGCTTCCTGGCTCACCCTGTGGAGGATGGAGTGGAAAGGTTTGGATTTGGAGGCAAAGGACCTGGGTCCAAATATGGGTTCTGTTAGTCATGAGCTCTGGGATCCAAAGCAAACCCCTTCCCCTCTCTGGGCCTTAAAACCCCCTCTCTAAAATGAGGGAATCATTCTATGTGATTCAGCTTTAAATTTTGTGATCCGCCCACCTAACCTCCATGAACCCCAACCCTGGAGAAGCCCCTAACCCCAAGACTCCACTACAGCCCATAGTTCAGGTGACATTCCATTTGGACACGGAGGCAGGTACACATGGTTCATACATAGACTAGCTAGGCAGGTCCCTTCTCCTCTCTGGGCCTCACTGTCCCAATCTATAAAATGGGGTTGGGGTGACTGGACTATCTCCAGCTCCAGGCTTTAGGTGGGGGTTGAGTGAGGTGACCTCTGATTCCCTGGTTATGAACCTTGGGGGTCCATAATGACCTCAGAGACCAGGAGCTCCCTGAGGGTAGGACAACTCCTGCTCCACCACCCAGGCTGGGCCGGCAAGTACACGTGTGGGGCAACAGCATCACGGCCCCAACACAGAATGACCAGGGTAAACCCAGACATGTGGCTATTCCCCCTTCCACCCAAGTCAGACTTGACAGCTGAAGCCTGGATCTAGGATCTCTGAGCATCTGTGCCAGTGTCCTGTCCTCAGCTCCATGAGGCCAGGGGGGTGTCTGGGCAACCTCTAAATCCCAATGCTGGCTGCATTGGGCTGGACTGTAAGTAGGGTTCATGGATAGAGAGCTGGGGGCAGAGGGCCTGGACTTTGGGAAAGAGAATTTTGAGGAAGATGCCTCTGGCATAATGGGTAGAGAGAGGGCCTCTGAATCATGATGGCCTGACTCATTGTGGCTGTGTGGCCCTTGGCAAGTCAGGTAACCTCTCAATGCTCCACACTAATCTCTAAGGCTAGCAGATTCCTATATACACTAGGGGAGGGAATTTCCTCACTGGGAATTTTCTGTATCAATGATACCTCAGATCTAGTCCAAAATAACACTTTGAGGAGGTTGAGGAAGGGCCTGGGCCAGAGAATCTTGGGGCTGGGGTAAGGGCACAGGATCCCTGGGTTCCACAGTCTGTCCTGCTTCTGTTTGAACAGACCACTTCTCTCCCTCACCCACTCATCACCCCACCCATATGTGCACCCACATTTCCTGACTCAGTTTCCCCTCTCTGAAACAGCTTGGGATGGAAGAAGAGTTGGGGGTGAGGGAGTGGCATTCCAGTCCTACAAGACCCCTCCCCTCCAGTCCATACGCACACGCCACCAGCCATCTTCCATCCGCCTGGCCTCTTGGGCCCCACGGTCCGTGGAGGTCGAGGGGAGGTGGGTTCAGGGCAGGATATAAAAGCAGACTGGAAGGGAGGAAGAGGCCCTCTTCTCTGCTCTCCAGGCCTTCAGCTCTCTCTAGGCTTGGCCAGAGAATGACCTGTGAGCTGGAGCGCTGGGGGGCCAGGTAGCATGGAGAGGGGCTACCCCCTGGGAACCATCAAACCTTGTGCTGAAGGAAGGATGCCTGGATTCAGAGGCAAGGAAGGGAATTGGGGGAGGGGTGCAGCTGCCATGGGAGGGAGGCTGAGCTGACAGTTTGAAAGGGATTTTTTTTTTGGTTGTTTTCGTTTTTGGTGTCTGTATTGTTGGTTGTTTTTTTTGTTTCTTGATTTGTTTTATTTTTTTAATTGGGGAGGAGATAGTGTTGGAGTGTTTATTTCCTCTTCCCCCCGGGGAGTTTGGGGGGACTGGGGAAGGGGAAGGAAAGGGCTCATTAGTATGAGTCACGAACACATGCAAATGAGGTTAGAATAGGCAAGGAAGGGGTCAAGGATGGATGGGGCTCGTGGGGGCTGGGGGTGGGGTGGGAGGAAGTGGGTCAAAGGCTGAGGGAAGAACTACAATGAAGGTCAATGGGGGCAGAAATGAGGAAGAATCAGGGCTGAGGACACTGGGGCAAAGGTTTGGATAAAGAGTTGAAGGTGGGAGTAAGGGTAGAGGCTAGAAGTGGAGGTGTAAGGGTTTCTGTAGAAGTAGGGGATAGAGGCTGGAGATTAGAGTAATGGGATGAGGGTGGAGAAAGGGTAATGGGGGAGGCTGAGGCAGTCTTTTTCACTCATCCTAATCCTTTCCTCTTGTTCCCCAACCTTTCCATCTCTCTCCAGGACATCATTGACAGACAGTCTGCCTCCTCACCCCTTGCCAATCTAGCACACAAGGTTTTTCTGTCTAGTGTCACTCCCCTGTGTGTGAATCTTGTTTACCCAGTCAGGCTGTGAGCTCATGGAGGGCACAGAGACCCAAGGTTGAAAACAGCAAAACCCAGTGCTTGGTGACTGACAGCTCTTCACCCCACCCCCATCCCTTCCTCCATCTTCCCACAAGGTCCAGGGTCTTCTATAGAAAGTCCCTTTTGTCCATCAATCCTACCTCTGGGTAGGATGACTCCTAAGCTCTAGCACTATAGGTGTCTGGATGAGGGTGAGGAAAGGGTCTCTCCTGCTCTCAGAAACCTCCAGAAAATGAAATTAGTATCTTCCCCTGGTCATCTACTCTGGTGACTCAACTCCAGTCATTCTCTCTTCTATCAAATCTAAATCTCTTGTACAGCAGTACCTCTTCTTAGCTGCCTTGCCCTCCTCCTTTTCCTCTGGTCTTTCCTAATCATTCTCCACTCAGTCTAGGTGGGTCATCACCCCAACTTGTCCTCTCTGTGGCTGTCCTTGGCTCCTCCCCAGATCTAATCTCCAGGGGAAGGAGGCAAGTTATTCCTTCCTGATGGTCAATCTTACTCTAACCCTCACCTTAACCTTCTTGGAGTTCCCATGATCTCTGATGGCAAAGCAGAGAAATGGAAAGAAGGGGAAAGAGTGTGAGGGATTCAGAACAATGGGAGAGTCAGAGGAGAAGGAACAAACTGGGGACGGATAGTGTGGAGAGGAAGGGGAAAGGGTCAGTGGGAAAATTGCGAACAGGTCTTTGGGAGGAAAGGGGAGATGAATTGGGTTAGTAAAACCCTACTGTTCCCTCAGACAAAATCATAAAGTCCAGACACAAAAATGGCGGCTCGTTAGTAGAAGCAGGAAACGGGAGTGCAAACCCCTCATCCCCCCGACTCCCCCCCGGGCCATGACCCCCAGCTCCCCTAACCCCACCGCCCGGCTTCTGGAGGGGCAGGGGCCGGCTGGGGGAGGAAAGAGGAGGGAGGGTAGGGGGACAGCGTGCCATCAACAGCAACAGCCAGAGCCAGGAGGACACATGCAGGTTAGGGGGGCTGGGATGGAGGAGCCAGGCCAAGCTAAAGGAAGCCAAGGGCTTGCAGCCATGGGCCCAGGGCATGCAGTGGGGAAGGGGTAGAGGCGAGCCGAGAGATGGAGCCAAGAGAGTTGAGGGAGGAAAGGGTTCCTTCCAAAAGGCGAGGGGCTGAAGAAGAGACATATTGAGAAAACAGGGATGCTCAAAGGAAAGGTCTCAGAATCCTGAGCTTCATTCCCCATGGGGGACCTTTGCCTACCCACCCACAAGCCAATTGCATAAAACCAGTCACACACACACACACACACACACACACACGTGTGTGAGCCCATAGCACCATGGACAGCACCCAGCACAGACACGTAACACACGTGTGTGCCCATAGCACCATGGACAGCACCCAGCACAGACAAGTCCTGCCTCCATTCTCCCCATACAAACAAACAGGTCGCAGTCAGACGCTGCAGGTTCTACTCCACTTAGGATCACACAATTAGAGTTAGAAGGGCCCTGAGAGGTCGTCTACCCCAACTTCCTTATTTTTCTGATAAGGAAACTGAGGCCTGGAGAGGTTGTGACCTGCCCTTGGTGACAGAGCCAGGATTTGAACCAAGGTCCCCTAACTTGAAATCTAGGGCTCTTTTCTGGGTGCCACATCACTTCCTGTTCTCAGACTCTCTCTCACTCTCCCCTCTACCCCTTTGGAACCGGGGATGGGG